AAGCTCGTATTGTGTATATAATCATGTAGAACATCAGCACACTTGAGAAAATCCTTTTGGATGAAACGTGTCGGGGCGGAGCCAGTGCTGCCGTCATTGCGCATGCTGGAGCCAGAAACCAGTGGCTCTGCTCATGTTTTTGACACACTTGTTAGGGCTCATGTACACTGCAGTTTCTTGACCCTCATTTTGACATTTGTTGGTATATAGGCCAGGGACCAGCAGGCACACTTCTAGCTCTGAGGAAGGGAGTCCGTCTCCCAAAACGCGTCAGCTTATCCACACCAAGGGCACAGCATTGCATCCGCTGTTGTTGCGGACCACTCTTTTTGTTTTTCAATTCTCGTTGGTTTGTGAGTATATTTCTATTTCATTTAATAAATACGTGGGTCTCCACGGTAATGCACGATGAGAGTGCGCCCTTGTCTGTTTTTGTTCACCAGTATTCAGATTTCCCCATCTTTGAGGGGCAGCACCTCTTCGTTTGGCATTTTCTATTTCCTGGTCTGCATGAAGATTTGAGCGCTGGTTTCATTTGTTTGTCTTTTGTTTGTTAGGGTTCATGTACACTTCAGCTGATAAACTGACGTTCAGGAGCTTTTCTGCATTTTTTTCAGCAGCCCCTGAACCCTCCCTAAAGCTTTCCTATGTGTCCTTGTACATATTGTCATTTATAGGCAGTTGAGTTTACAGTTGTTTTTTTGAACGCACCAAACTTGCGTTCAGGAGTAGATTTTACCGGCATTTCAAACGCCAAATTGTGTAAATGCGTGGAAACATGGTTAACCGTGTTTATAAGCGTTTGCATTTAGAAGCTTTTTTTAAACTGCTCCATATCCAGATGTTGTCCAAAGCATTTTTCCATTGTCAGAAATGCATGCAAAGCATTTTCCATGTATTCAAATGGGCCCGGTACACCAGATCTATACAGACAACTATTTCACTAGAGTCCCACTGAGTGCCAAGCTGCTTGACCAGGGAATTCATTACACTAGAACAGCCAGGCAGGTACGCTTCCCAACTGTAACCTTGATGGTGGGGAAAGTCTAAAGTAAAAGGGCAAAGGAAGCTTTGATGTCAGAGTGGAGGTGAGTGACAACATCTGTGCAGTGAAATGGTATGAAAACAGGGAGATCACACTGTCATCATCCTTTGCTGGGCCAGAACTGGTGGAGAAGATTCAACAATGGAACAAAGCCACCTAAAGATATGTTGAGGCTCAAAGGTCTTACATTGTGGGTGTCTACAACAAATTCATGGGTGGTGTGGATATGTTGGTGCAGCAAATTATGTTTCCTTTGAATTCCTGCTGTTGGTACATTTACATCTTCTGGCACACCATCATCCTAGCTGTGATCAATGCATGGCTGCTGTACAAACAGGACTGCAAAGCACGGAATGCTCCCAAGAAAAAGATACTAAACAGGAGGCTGTTCCAAGCCCAGTTAGCATCCTCTCTTATCCTAGTCAGCACAACTGTCATTAAATCAATGAGAGGGTGACCAGGTTTAATCCATGGGAGCTCAATTCCACAGACAGGACCCCTTAGATAACAGGAAGAGACCATCCACAGAGAAAGGGAGTCCTTCAAATGGCACCCCCCCAGACAAAAGGTCAACCGTACATCCACCAAAAGACATTTGCAAGGACATGTATGGTAATGTCGCTATAAAAACAAGTAGAGGACGCCGCAGACACTGTGGTATAGGATATACCAACACACTTTGCAGCAAGTGCAATATTCACCTCTGCCGCAAGTGCAATATCCGCCTCTGCAGCGAGTGCAATATCCGCCTCTGGAGTGAGTGCAATGTCCGCCTCTGTAGCAAGTGCAATATCTGCCTCTGCAGCGAGTGCAATGTCCGCCCTCTGCAGCGAGTGCAATGTCCGCCTCTGCAGCAAGTGCAATATCCGCCTCTGCAGGGAGTGCAATATCCGCCTCTGCAGAGAGTGCAATATCCGCCTCTGCAGCGAGTGCAATATCCGCCTCTGCAGCAAGTGCAATATCCGCCTCTGCAGGGAGTGCAATATCCGCCTCTGCAGAGAGTGCAATATCCGCCTCTGCAGCGAGTGCAATATCCGCCTCTGCAGCAAGTGCAATGTCCGCCTCTGCAGCAAGTGCAATGTCCGCCTCTGCAGCAAGTGCAATGTCCGCCTCTGCAGCAAGTGCAATGTCCGCCTCTGCAGCGAGTGCAATGTCCGCCTCTGCTTCTCAGAGGACAAGAACTGCCTTTGGGACTATCATAACTAAGCATGGCTATGAACATAGCTAAACATAATAAATGTCAAAGTTTTCATTCAATGCAGCAGGTTTTGTAGAAAACAAGTGTGAACATAGTTTATAATAAATGATTATTAATAAAACATATGACTTGTATGATTATTATTTGTGATAATTAGTGTATAGAGATATAGGCCACTGATGAAGGACTTAACAAGCAGAAAGCCCTTCAAAAAATCTCTTTGTTGGTCTCTACATTTGTTCTGACAGTATGAGTAAAATTGCTGAAATTCTGCTGCCAAACAGGCCCAATGTTGCAAAATTACAACGTTCACCAAAAACGTTCTAAAAGTTTCAAAAATGTTAAAACTCATTGATTTCTGCATTAAAGGCCTCTTACAACAATATCTAAAAGGTGAAAACGTCTTTTTTTAGTTTTTTTTTCTATATTTGGGTCTTCTGGGGTTAAAGTAAACCAAGTTTTAAACTATTGGAGGCTGTCGTCTGTTTCTTTGCCGGATTGTCATCATTGGAGGGAAAGAGGGTATACAGTTGAGTTTCCTCTTGTTGTGCCCTGTGGTTCCCTGAGTTGGATGCTCCATTAGTAGAAGGCCCACGCACCTCTGAACTTTCACAAACCACCTATAATTTGGGATGTTCTGATCTGGTAGGAGGCTGTGTGTGTCACGTGGTGGCCGGATTCACTGGTGGCCGGATTCCAAACAAGATCTTTTTTTGGGTGGAACTAAAGGGAATGTTTTATTTATACTTCAACACACGGTGTTAATGGACTATTTCAATTATGTGGTGTTATTGACATTTTATTGGTACATTTATGTATTTGAGATCACTTTCACATTCATGAATATTTAAATGTACAGGATCTGAACCTTCCTTGCTGGGTTCCAATTTTTCTTTTTCTAGGCAAGCAATGGAACTAGACCCTTCATACATTTCTAATCCCCACCATGAGCCGCTATGCCATAGACCACCTTAACCCTCCCACCCAGGTTTAATCACATCAGCTGTCATGGGGAGCACACAGCCGGACCCGAAGGAAGAGACATCCAGCTTCTCATTGTGGAATCTCCTTTCTGTATCGATTCTTCATGAACACAAACTTCTCCCAACAATTATTCTTTCACAAGTACAATGTCTGCTTTGTTGCCCCTCAAAAGGGAAGAACACAACAATGCCTCTCGGTGCATTCCTTATCATATTACATGTTGACTTCCTTATACTTTGCCATGTTTGCTACTCAAAAAAATGTTTTTGTTGTCGCCCGAAGCATTATTAACAAAATAACCGAACACTCCTTGAGACTTCGAGGTAAATAAGTAAAATATTTTCAGTAAATGACCTTTTCTTATTGTAAGCGAAGTATGACCATTATGTCACCTTTTCTTCACAGTTTAGCTCTTTGAATAGATCTTCAATATATTAATATTTTAGCACCAGATAGGCAATGAAAATAGAAGATGAGCTCCCTGGATATTCACACCTAACACAACCCAAGATTTGTTTTTCTCCTGGTGCCTTCCTTTTGAGACCTCTTCTTGGGGATATTTTGGGCGCTCATTCAGAAAACTGCATTGGCTAGACTGCCTCAGCTTTAGTGGATATGGATATAGTGAATGCGGGGTCCGGGGAGACCAGATATAGTGAATGCGGGGTCCGGGGAGAGCGGATATAGTGAATGCGGGGTCCGGGAGACATATATAGTGAATGCAGGGTCCGGGGAGAGCGGATATAGTGAATGCGGGGTCCGGGGAGAGCGGATATAGTGAATGCGGGGTCCAGGGAGAGCGGATTATAGTGAATGCGGGGTCCGGGGAGAGACCAGATATAGTGAGTGCAGGGACCGGGGAGAGAGCGGATATAGTGAATGCGGGGTCCTGGGGAGAGCAGATATAGTGAATGCAGGGTCCGGGGAGAGCGGATATAGTGAATGCAGGGTCCGGGGAGAGCGGATATAGTGAATGCGGGGTCCGGGGAGACCGGATATAGTGAATGCAGGGTCTGGGGAGAGCGGATATAGTGAATGCAGGGTCCGGGGAGACGGATATAGTGAGTGCGGGGTCCAGGAGAGCAGATATAGTGAATGCGTTGTCCGGGGAGAGCGGATATAGTGAATGCAGGGTCCCGGGGAGAGATCATATAGTGAATGCGGGGTCCGGGGAGAGCGGATATAGTGAAAAGCGGGGTCCGGGAGAGATGCGAATATAGTGAATGCAGGGTCTGGGGAGAGCGGATATAGTGAATGCAGGGTCCTGGGAGAGCATGATATAGTGAATGCAGGGTGTCTGGGAGAGAGCTGATATAGTGAATGGGGGATCCGTGGAGAGCGGATATAGTGAATGCAGGGTCTTGGGGAGAGCGGATATAGTAAATGCAGGGTCCGGGAGAGCGGATATAGTGAATGCGGGGTCCGGGGAGAGCGGATATAGTGAATGCAGGGTCCGGGGAGAGCGGATATAGTAAATGCAGGGTCCGGGGAGAGCGGATATAGTGAATGCGGGGTCCGGGAGAGCGGATATAGTGAATGCGGGGTCCGGGAGAGCGGCGGATATAGTGAATGCAGGGTCCGGGGAGAGCGGATATAGTGAATGCGGGTCCGGGGAGAGCGGATATAGTGAATGCAGGGTCCAGGGAGAGCGGATATAGTGAATGCGGGGTCCGGGAGAGCGGATATAGTGAATGCGGGTCCGGGAGAGCAGAGATATAGTGAATGCAGGGTCCAGGGAGAGCGGATATAGTGAATTCCGGGTCCTGGGAGAGTGATATAGTGAATTCCGGGTCCTGGGAGAGCGGATATAGTGAATGCGGGGTCGGGGGAGAGCAGATATAGTGAATGCGGGGTCCAGGGAGAGCGGATATAGTGAATGCAGGGTCCCGGGGAGAGCGGATATAGTGAATGTGAGGTCCGGGGAGAGAGGATATAGTGAATGCGGGGTCCGGGGAGAGTGGATATAGTGAATGCGGGGTCCGGGGAGAGCGGATATAGTGAATGCAGGGTCCGGGGAGAGCGGATATAGTGAATGCGGGGTCCTGGGAGAGCGGATATAGTGAATGCGGGTCCTAGGAGAGCGGATATAGTGAATGCGGGGTCCGGGAGAGCGGATATAGTGAATGCAGGGTCCGGGGAGAGCAGATTTAGTGAATGCGGGGTCCGGGGAGAGTGGATATAGTGAATGCAGGGTCCGGGGAGAGCGGATATAGTGAATGCGGGGTCCGGGGAGAGAGCGGATATAGTGAATGCGGGGTCCGGGGAGTGCGGATATAGTGAATGCGGGGTCCGGGGAGAGCGGATATAGTGAATGCGGGGTCCGGGGGGAGCGGATATAGTGAATGCGGGGTCCGGGAGAGCGGATATAGTGAATGCGGGGTCCGGGGAGTGCGGATATAGTGAATGCGGGGTCCGGGGAGAGCGGATATAGTGAATGCGGGGTTCGGGGGGGAGCGGATATAGTGAATTAATGCGGGGTCCGGGGAGAGCGGATATAGTGAATGCGGGGTCTGGGGAGAGTGGATATAGTGAATGCGGGGTCCGGGGGGAGCGGATATAGTTAATGCGGGGGGTCCGGGGAGTGCGGATATAGTGAATGCGGGGTCCGGGGGGAGCGGATATAGTGAATGCGGGGGTCCGGGGAGAGCGGATATAGTGAATGCGGGGTCCGGGGGAGCGGATATAGTTAATGCGGGGTCCATGGAGAGTGGATATAGTGAATGCAGGGTCCAGGGAGAGCAGATATAGTGAATGTGGGGTCCGGGAGATCGGATATAGTGAATGCGGGGTCCGGGGAGAGCGGATATAGTGAATGCGGGGTCCGGGGGAGAGCGAATATAGTGAATGCGGGGTCCGGGGAGAGCGGGATACAGTGAATGCAGGGTCCGGGGAGAGCGGATATAGTAAATGCAGGGTCTGGGGAGAGTGGATATAGTGAATGCGGGGTCCGGGGAGAGCGGATATAGTGAATGCGGGGTCCTGGGAGAGAGAGGATATATTGAATGCGGGGTCCGGGGAGAGCAGATATAGTGAATGCGGGGTCCGGGGAGAGCGGATATAGTGAATGCAGGGTCCGGGGAGAGTGGATATAGGGAATGCAGGGTCCAGGGAGAGCGGATATAGTGAATGCGGGGCCGGGGGAGAGCGGATATAGTGAATGCGGGGGTCCGGGGAGAGCGGATATAGTGAATGCGGGGTCCGGGGAGAGCAGATATAGTGAATGCGGGGTCCGGGGAGAGCGGATATAGTGAATGCAGGGTCCGGGGAGAGCGGATATAGTGAATGCGGGGTTCGGGGAGAACGGATATAGTGAATGCGGGGTCCGGGGAGAGCGGATATAGTGAATGCAGGGTCCGGGGAGAGCGAATATAGTGAATGCGGGGTCCGGGGAGAGTGGATATAGTATATTTCAGTTTTCAGGCCTTTAGTGACAATATTTCAACTCTGAGATGTCATTTATTTTTCTGATTTGTAACTTACCAACCTTATCAATAATAATAAAAATTCAAAGAAAGATAAAGAAGAGAATTTTAAGAAACAATTTAAATGTTTAAATATTTTTAGTTATTAGGCCTTTAGTGGCAATATTTCAACTCTATGATGTTATTTCTTTTTTGATGATTTGTCAATTACAATCCTTATTAAGATTACATGCTCAGGGGAGGAGTGTGCGGATGACATTCATCGGGATAGCGGCTTGTAGTACTCTACTAACGGCTCTTGATATGACATTACAGCAGGCAATAGCATTCATTAAGTGGCCCCGTGCTTTGCCTTGCATTAAGGATGGTGTCTGCTTTTGAGCATGTGCAGGACTCTGCTGCTGAGATGATACTGCCATCTAGTGTCTAATCAGTACAATGAACCGGATGTTCATCATACATGGTGCAAAGTACACCTCCGGAGAACGTATTTCATATGTTTTAATTGATGAATTAAAGTTTTTAAAAGGATATAAAGCTCTAAAGTGAGTTTATTTTTAATGAGGAATACAGCCGATACCAAGGTTTATCAGGAGGGAGCTCACTTTGGAGTCTTCATTCAGCAAGCTGATCTTCTGAGTCCATATGGGTCCAAAAGTGCAGTTAGATCGTAACATTGTACAATGTGCGGTCACACTGCGTGAGGTGAGCATATAGATATATGGTGGAGGATGTATGTTCATATATTGTATATACAGTCATGGGAGAAATTGTTGGCACCCTTGATATTTCTCCAGGAAATCATGTATTTCTCACGAAACGTATTGCATTAACACATGTTTTGCTATACACATGTTTATTCCCTTTGTGTGTATTGGGACAAAACAAAAAAAGGGAGGAAAGAAAGCAAATTCGACATAATGTCACACAAACCTCCAAAAATGGGCTGGACAAAAGTATTGGCACCCTTTCACAACTGCGGATAAATAAGAATGTTACAAGCATGTGATGCTCCTGTAAACTCACCTGGGGCAAGTAACAGGTGTGGGCAATATAGAAATCACACCTGAAAGCAGATAAAAAGGAGAGACGTTCACTTAACCTTTGCATTGTGTGTCTGTCTGTGCCACACTAAGCATGGACAACAGAAAGAGGAGACGAGAACTGTCTGAGGACCTGAGAACCAAAATTGTGGCAAAATATCAACAATCTCAAGGTTACAAGTCCATCTCCAGGAAACTAGATTTGCCTTTGTCCACAGTGCGCAACATTATCAAGAAGTTTGCAACCCATGGCACTGTAGCTAATCTCCCTGGTCGTGGACGGATGAGGAAAATTGATGAAAGATTGCAACGCAGAATAGTCCGGATGGTGGATAAGCAGCCCCAAACATGTTCCAAAGACATTCAAGCTGTCCTGCAGGCTCAGGGAGCATCAGTGTCAGCGCGAACTATCCGTCGACATTTAAATGAAATGAAACGCTATGGCAGGAGACCCAGGAGGACCCCACTGCTGACACAGAGACATAAAAAAGCAAGACTACAGTTTGCCAAAATGTACTTGAGTAAGCCAAAAGCCTTCTGGGAAAACGAATTGTGGGACAGATGAGACCAAGATAGAGCTTTTCGGTAAAGCACATCATTCTACTGTTTACCGAAAAACGGAATGAGGCCTACAAAGAACAAAACACAGTACCTACGGTAAAATATGGTGGAGGTTCAATGATGTTTTGGGGTTGTTTTGCTGCCTCTGGCACTGGGTGTGCCTTGACTGTGTGCAAGGCATCATGAAATCTGAGGATTACCAAAGGATTTTGGGTCGCACTGTAGGGCCCAGTGTCAGAAAGCTGGGTTTGCGTCCAAGATCCTGGGTCTTCCAGCAGGACAATGACCCCAAACATACGTCAAAAAGCACTCAGAAATGGATGGCAAAGAAGCGCTGGAGAGTTCTGAAGTGGCCAGCAATGAGCCCAGATCTAAATCCCATTGAACACCTGTGGAGAGATCTTAAAATTGCTGTTGGGAAAAGGTGTCCTTCCAATAAGAGAGACCTGGAGCTGTTTGCAAAGGAAGAGTGGTCCAAAATTCCGGGTGAGAGGTGTCAGAAGCTTATTGATGGTTATAGGAAGCGACTGATTTCAGTTATGTTTTCCAAAGGGTGAGCAACCAAATATTAATGTTAAGGGTGCCAATACTTTTGTCCAGCCCATTTTTGGGGTTTTGTGTGACATTATGTCATATTTGCTTTTCTGCCTCTGTTTTATATTTGTTCCAATACATACAAAGGGAATAAACATGTGTATAGCAAAACATGTGTTAATGAGCAATACCTTTTTTGTGTGAAATACTTGATTTTCAGGAAAAATATCAAGGGTGCCAACAATTTCGGCCATGATAGTGTATATTGTTAATGTGTATAATATATATATTTTTTTTTTTATATTTTTATTTCAATATTAATAATTTTTTTCAATTATTTTATCTTCTATATATCTATTTTTTTTTTTTCACTTTTTTGTTTTTTGTTATTTGAGGATTGTGCCATTGTTTCATGTAGTGCAGCTTTTTTTCACTTCACAATATGATTGTAAAATATTTTCATTATTAGGCCTTTAGTGACAGTATTTCAACTCTGAGATGTTATTCGTTTTTTTTCTGATTTGTAACGTACCAACTCTATCAATAATGATACAAAGTCATAGAAAGATAAAGAAGAACATTTTAAGAACACTTTACATTTTAAAAAATTTTGTTTTTTATTCTTAGCAATAATAATAAAAACTCAAAGAGAGATAAAGTGAATTTTAGGAATAATTTACATTTTTAAAATATTTTAGTTTTTAGGCCTTTAGTGACAATATTTCAACCTCATGATGTTACTTCTTTTTCTGATTTGTCAATTAAAATCCTTATTAAGATAAAAAATATATATCGAGAGAGAAGAGAATTTTAAAAACAAATAATAGATTTAAATATTTTGGTTTTCAGGCCTTTATTGGCAATATTTAAAAAAAAAAAAATTTTCTTATGATTTGTCAATTAATATCCATATTAAGATAAAAAAAAATTCAAAGAAAGAAAGAAGAGAATTTTAGGAACAACCCCCAATTGGAAATATTTTAGTTTTCAGACCTTTAGTGACAATATTTCAACTCTGAGATGTCATTTCTTTTTCTGATTTGTAAATTACCAACCTTAACAATAATAATAAAAATTCAAAGAAAGATAATGAAGAGAATTTTAATATCAATTTACAATTTTACAATATTTTAGTTTATAGACCTTTAGTGACAATATTCAGTGATGTTATTTCTTTATATGATTTTCAATTAGTATCCTTAATATGATGAAAAAAATTTAAAGAAATATAGAGATGAAAATTTTAAGAGCAAATCACATTTTAAATATTTTGGTTTCCAGGTCTTTAGTGGCAATATTTCAGCTCTGAGACTTAAAATGTTATGTATGGTCAATGATTATCCATATTAAAGATAATAAACATTGAAAGAATGAAAAAAAGAATTTAAAGAAAAAAAAATCAGTATCTTCCATCTTGCTTGATGTCAGTCTTTGCTTTTACTCTGTCTTATCTCCATTGCTGTGTACATTTTTTTTGTTTATTTTTGTTTATTTTTGTTTATTTTTTTTATTTATTTTTTTGTATATTTTTGTTTATTTTTTTATTTATTTTTTTCTCTCAGAGATTGTTTCTTTTAACATTCTGCTAAAACTTTGAGACGTAGTACTGCTTGGACCATGAAGAAGGGGACAGCTTGTCCTGAAAATTGTATGGTAGTGCAAATAAAAGAAGTA